AGCTGGGGAAAGTTCTCCTAAAAGGCAGAGGGGATTTAACGCCCGTGTGTCTCGAGCTGGGAATGGTGGAAGCGCAATGAAGGCACTGCCGAACCTGTCTCTTGGGGGTCAGCTTGAGCCGCAATCCCTGATACAACACATAAAATAATAAAAATAATAATAAAATAAAAAAATAAAATAATAAAAATAATAGACCCTGGTCTACAAGCAACGCATTGTTTAAATGCTGTGTTCATGCCCTTTGGTTTACCCACTGTGTCACCAGAAAGCTGATGCTTATTTCGGAGAGTCAGAATTCTAGGTGGAAAGGGACCTCAAGGTTCAGCTGGTCCAGCCTTTCTTGGCAAAGACATGGTCTAGACGACATGGCCCAACACCCTGTACAGCCAAATCTTAAAAGTGCCCAGTGTTGGGCAGTCAATGCTTTGTGATTATTAGTTTGTCAAGTAAACAGACTATAAAACATTCTCTTAATTTTTGACAGCTTTGACAGCTTTGTGCTGTGCTTCCTATTTTTGATGCTTTTTAGAAATCTATCTATTCTTTGACCCGTCTGGTAAATTGATTATGGTCCTGACATAATTTATTGCTTTGTGATGAGCTGTCCTCTTAAATGGTTCTAGAAAATTAAGAAAAATCAACGTCTTAATAGCTGATAATCATATCTTACAGGTTTTTTCCAGTCCTATGCAGTTGAAGTAGATATAAAGGATGCTTCCAATGCTACATGCCTGTATGCAAATTGGATGATGAGGTTCTTGATAACATATGAATCAAACAATGGTGATTATGTAAGTATTTAGGAGTAACTCTTGCTAAGAATTGGATTTTGACCTGGATTAAAATTTAAGCTCTTTTACCTAGGGTGTTTGATTTCTTACTTTTTTTTTTTACTAAGTCACTTGAGAGGAATATTCCTATATAGTCCTTATAAAGTAAAGAATAAGTTCTCAGTCATACAAATTACTGAAAGTACTCTGTTGCTCGTACTTAAATGATGGACACAAAACTCACCAAGTCTAACCAGTACAAGTGTGGTTATGTTCTTAACCCAAGCAGTAAATGTAATTGCAGCTCAACATGATCAGGGTTTACAGCCAGGTTAGAGTTGTACTTTTGTACTTGAATCTGATACAGCTCCTTTCTCAGGCAGGTGTCAAGGGGCTTTTACCATAATTTTCCAGAACAACCTAAAATAATCTCAGCAAGGTTTCAGCTAACTCCAGCAAGTTTCTAATGTTGTCATGGGGAAGAGCTGCATGTGAATGCATTTTAAATTCCCCTTTTCTTCTAGAAAACCACAACCCTGAATTTGTCATCCAGTGCGACACACAATGGAAGCGTCTGTGGCAATGACACACAGGCTGCCCTTGTGGCAGTGCAGTTTGGAGAAGGTCATTCTTGGAGCATTAACATCACAAAAAACAATGAAACTTACCAGGGAGACTTCATGACACTGACCTACAACACCAATGACACAGCTGTATTTCCTGATGCTAAGAGAAAAGGTAACATTCAGTTCAGAATCTGACTTGCAAAGCAATCTCAGCCAGAAGTGTCAGACCTGGTGTACCTGACCTGGCTTGGCTCCTTCGAAGTAAGGAGCAATCCAGGAGTTAGTAATGAATGTAATGAGTTCTGAACCACGTACTGCCAACTGCTGCTCCTTGTACCTGCCTGCTGGGTAACAGTGCAGGCCAAATGGCTTCACTGGATGTGTAATTCCTGTAAGTGGAAGAGAAAGGGAAGGACAAACAGCTTTGATCAGTGAGCTGGACAGCAGGCACATGGAAGATTAATTTTAGTGGGCACTGCTTGACCTTCTACCTTGCTAAGCAATACAGTGTTAGGCTGTCTGTGTACTAATGCCTACTAATAATAGAATTGTTTTCTCCTTACAAACTTAAGTAAAAGGGTTCACCTTTCTTATGGCTTGTATAGTTCTGTAAGCTTGGTTACTCCTGGCTTTACTCCTAGCATTACCTATCACTTCAGGTCAGGACATACAGGGAGAACATTCAGGAGAGCTGAAGATTGTTAAGCTTAATTATCGCTTAGTCTTTGTCTTATGAAATGATATAAAATGTAACACTACCTCTAAGTTCTTGTAGTTCATAAGGCATTAAAATATTTATGCTTATTTGTAGGACCAGTTACTATTTTTATGAAGGATCCTGCAGGTCCAGTTCAGCTGAACACTGTCTTCGTGTGTCACAATTCCTTCGTTATTGAAGCAGAAAATATAACGCAGATTTTCTGGAATGTTACTGTGCAGGCTTTTGTTCAGAATGGCACAGTCAGTAAAAAAGGTGAGCATTTCAGTTTGTGATAGAACTTTTTTGTCTTGCACCTTAGTGCAGGGAGCAAAGTCCCATAATAAAAAATCCACCAATTCTAAGATGTGTTGTATTTAATAATATCCATGTAAATATCCTCTAGCTTTTCTTTCCTTGTTCCTGGAAAAATAGCTTAGGAGAACGGATTTAGTAGTGTGCTGTACTATTGATTGTTTGCCTGCCAAGGTGGGATTCTTCTCAAGTGTGTATTCCAGTAATTGGGGTATTAAAAATAAGCACTTAAGAGCTACTGTTGCTGAGTAAATCATTTGGGTTTGAGGGGTTTTAGCTGACTGCCTTCCACTTGCAGTGGTGGCCTCTGCTGTTGCATTTGAGTAGTCCAGAGCCTGTTGTCTCATCTCCTAGCTCAGGAAAGATACAAGCACAGCATCCTGCTGCATGTAGCCTAATAGGGCCACTAACTTGGCTGACAGCAAATACATGTCACACTTGTTTTAAAACAACTTAATGTCTTTGTGTGTTTTGCTTCCCTGTGTCAGAGGCAAGTGGTACTGAGTGTGGGTTTAAAACTGAGTGTTATAGGATTTCTGAGAATAAGTGGCAACTGTACTTTGTCTGAGTAATGAGACTTCAATAAAATTTCTGTAATGAGATAGTGATTAAAATGTCTTTTCAGAGACTAGATGTCCTGCTGATAGACCTACTTCTGCACCTACTGTTCCACCTACTAGTGCCAATGCAACTACTGCACCTACCACTGCTGCACCTCCTGCTCCAACTCCTCCCAAGCCTGTGGAGAATCCAGACACAGGAAACTATTCTCTTAAAAGTGGAAATAAAACGTGTTTCCTGGCATCTGTGGGGCTGCAACTGAATGTTTCCCAAGACAAGGTGCTTCTTTTTTCTTTTGAAGAGTAAAAGTTGCTGTAGTTATTCGGTGTGAAGTCTGAATGCAGAGTATTGCTGTGTACATGCTGGCTGTCCAGAACTGCTTCTAAGTATTATATGTAGCACCTCTCTGACATCAGAATGGTTTTGTTGCATAATACAGGTCTTCAAAAACCTATGGATTCAACAGATCTTTTTATTTGGAATACTTCTAACATGATTAAAAGTCTGGAACTTTCTTAGCTTTTACGGCTGTTGGTTCCCTACTTTCCCCTCAGAGGGTAGCTTGTTGTGTTAGGGAACAAAGTAACACTTCTCAAGGAATTTGTTTGTTTCAGTACTGCCAGCATGTAAATTTAACTCAAACAGCCTTGGTTCCATGGCAGCCAAGCTCAGCTCTCCCTGCTGTCATATTTATGACAAGCTCTTCTAGCCCAAGACTGTTCCTGACTGAGACAATGTATTCCAAAGCAGCTGAATGTCTTTGATGTGCTTTGTGTGTATTTCAGCCTCTTCTGATCAACATCAATCCAAATACAACTGTCGCAGATGGTGCCTGTGGTAACACAACAGCCACTCTGAAATTGAATGATGGAAATAGCACACTGATTGGTTTCACATTTGCTGTTGTAAGTAATTTCTTTTATTTTAAACTGAATTTATCATTTAACAGCATGCATGGTGATCACTTACAGTAAAATCCTCCTGTTGCTTGCTGGTGGTCGGCAGTTCCTGTATGGGAAGTGGAACTGGCCAGCTGAGTGCCTGAGGACAAATGGAGAACTGGGTTAAAGTGGTAGAAAATATAAGACTGGTAAATGTGTTGGCTTTTGTAAAGCATGTGTTCTTAAATTGACAAATGCAAAATTGCACACTGACACTTGGTTCTTGCTTCTTGAACAGAAAAATGCGAGTGCAAGTGTACAGAAATTTTATCTGAGAGAGGTCAATGTTACTCTGCTCAACCGTCTGAATGGTTCTGGTAAGAAACAGTATCTGTCTTAAACAAGGGTAGTACTTTATTCAGTGTCTGCATCAAATAATTCTGGCTTTTCTTCTGTGTTGTTCATGCTTACTGTTAGCTCCTACTCTGTCTAGAAGTTGGTATGAACAAAAATAATAAGCAGAAATGTCTGTAAGAGTTACTTTAAACAGTGTGGGACCACTCTACAATTCCTGAAACTTCTGCTAATGGAATCACTGTAAATCAGAAGGGCTTCTTGATAACTCTTTTCAGTAATGTAATTTTTTGTGGTGTGAAATCTAATTGTACCAACTTTGAAGTTTTTTTTTTTTCCTAAACCAGTTGTTGTCTTCTTTGTTTGAAAATGCTGCTGTATCTTCCAACCACTTGTACTCTCACTAAAAAAAGGCCAGTCCTTCAGAAGCTAAAGTATACTTTTTTCCCAACAAACATATGTTTTCTTTTTTTTTTTAATTGCTTGTCATAGCTACAGCAGTTAAAGAGCATTAAAGCTAAAGCACTTGCAACTCTGCAGCACTGAGATGAGTGGAGGTATAAGGAAAGCCTGATGTCATGTACATGTGAAAGAGAGGTTACTGTAATAACTTCAGTTTCTGATTTCTGGTTAAGCTGATCAATCCCACTTTGCACTACTTTGTTTTTCAGACTAGTTAGTGTTGAAGTGTTGGCCACTCTAGATTCAGCTACTCAGTCTTACTGTATTAGCAACTGTCTTACATTTTAAGTGAACATGCAAATTCTTTCTTTTTTTTTTTTTTCTTCTTTGTTTAGTCATTTCAAGTGCAGATAACAACAACTTAAGCAAGTGGGATGCTTTCCTTGGTAGCTCTTACATGTGCCGAAAAGAGCAAACCCTTCAGATTAATGAAAATGTTCAAGTTCATACTTTTAATCTCAGGATTCAGCCATTCCTTGTGGAGGCAAATAAGTTTGCTACAGGTAAGAGTTATGTTTTTGTTTTTTAGTGATACTTGCAAAATTCTCACTTGCTAAAAAGCACCACCATTAGGTGCAAGCACTTTATCTCAGAAGCTCTTGTTCCAATTTTTTAAACTATGTTTAGATATACATGGAATGAAGAGAAGTTCTGAGAGTGACATTCAAGTTCAAGCAAAGCTTTGTTCTCGCTTAAAAAATGTCTGCTAAGTGTGTGGTTCTTCACAAAACTTGAATGAACAAGAGACACTGAATAGGGACTTAAGGGTTGCTGTGCAGAATAGATTAGAAGTTACTTGATAATATCTTGACTTGCAGAATTTGTAGCTCAGAACTTTTGCAGAAGTTCACTTTGGGAATACTGTTAGGTGTTTTGTTTCTTTTTACCTGTCAGTCTGAGGAATAGGAGTGTTGGGGAAGAATGAACTGTCAGGGTTTCCTTCAGAGGCAGTCTTGAATATCCAGAACAAAAGAGATTCTGAAATGTTTGTTTGCTGCAATATCTTGATCTTGTCTGGAGAAAACTGAAATGTCTTAAATTACCTCTTAATATTTAGTGCAAACTGGTCTTTGTGCTTAATGCTAATACTTGGCAGCACAGTCTTACTGGACTAAACTGATCTGTAGACACATGGATTGAAAAGTTCTGGTTTTAGACAAAAGTAAGATAAACAGTTTAGTCTTTCTAAAGAGTTATGGACCCATTTCACTCTGTAGTTAAAGTTGCAGCTAGCTTTCTTCTAATTATAGTTATTTTATCTGTGTAGCATGTCTTTGTTCTGGATAGATTCTTGATACCAAATCTAGGTCACTTTTTATCCTTAATGAGTGAAAGTGCCAACCAGACTTGCTTTAATTATGAAATAGATAAGCCTGGTTTGTGAATGTAGAAAAATGGCTGCTCCCTTCCCTAGTGCAGATCTTGTGCACAGGAAAACTTGTACACCCTTAATTTGCTATAGGTTATTAATGCTTATATTAATTAAAATGCTTAAATATGCTAAATGTATTGATGAGACCTCTGCAGTTCTTTCTCACTTAGTTTAAATAATACTTGATTTTTTAATACCTTCATATTAAGGAAAACAGATTTTTATACCACACTTGGGAAGTGTTCTGTCTTTATTTATTCCTTATTGCAACCTTTTTCTCACCTACAGCCCAGGAGTGTTCGCTGGATGATGACAGCATTCTAATCCCAATTGTAGTTGGTGCTGCACTTGCTGTCTTGATTGCCATTATAGTGGTTGCTTACATAATTGGCAGAAGAAAAAGCTATGCTGGATATCAAACTTTGTGAATCTAAGCGTGATTCCTGTTACGATTTCACTCTAAACAAAGCAAGTGCAAGTTCTGAAGTCCAAAAAAGACCCAAAACTTAGGAGTAATTACTAGCCACAGCTAATTGGAGTTGAGAATAAAGGGAGAATGTTTATCTCAGATGAAGCAGAATTACACTTTATTTTCCTGCCCTAAGAAGACCATGTGGGTTTCATAGCTGTCTTGAAGATGTCAAATCCTGGATGAATTGCTAGGCTAAGGATTTTTTCTTGCAAAAGTCCTAAAGCATTTAGGATTTATTTCTGCTTTTTACAAATACTAGCCTGAAACAATAACACGTTCTGAACTGATGTGCATTGGGCATCTCCCAGATTAGCATAGAATTTGTACTTGCTTCTCTCCTCTGCGTTCCTTAGTTGTTGTTGTAATTGTGGGTTAAGCTGGCAGCATTAGTCACCCTGTTGACTTGTACAGTATTTAACAAGGATTGTCTAATGCCCAATAGCAACTTTGTTTTCCATAGGATTGAACTTCAGGCTGGTAATTAAGTGATCTCTGGAAGTGGCAGCAGTAACTTACTTGCCTTTGTTAGGATTTCAGTAATTTACTCCTGCCTTGGTGTAATTTCAGGAATCATTCCTATACCGTGGCTGTACAAACAAAATGGGTAATTTGCCAAATGGTGAATATATGGGAAGACTTCAGTGCCGTTTCCAGATGCTTTCAAAAAAAAACCTGTTAGGCACTGAATTCTTTATTATACCTTGGCAATCATCTAAAATACTCACCTAAGGCAGACTTCTGCTAAATTAATGCAAGCTTTTTTTTGCTGGCATCAGTTTAAAGGGAATAACCTTTCTAAATATTCCAGAACTTTAAAGTGCACTTAACTTCATACCATACTCTGCACAGAACTGGTCTGTCTTGTTGCTTTGAATGACCTTGTTTAAAGATGCTTTCATTTAATGAGCCAGTATCTGTTGTTGCAGCTTGAGCTGTTTTTAAATCTTCATCTTGAATGGTTCTCTGCCAGTCAAAGTTCACCTTTAACTGCCCGCCATTGGCACTCTGAATGTTGAATGTTTGTGTTGGGTTGTTTGCGGTGTAGCATTTATTGATGTTAAGAATGCAAAAGCCAAACAAGAGATGGACCCACAACACCTGTTTTTCCTTGCTGTATGAAAAGAATAAGTAGGTTAAAAAAGTGCAGTGCAACTGGACTGTTCTTTAACTGCAGCTCTGTAGAGACTAACCCTTGATGCACAACTTTGCTCTGGGCTCTTTGTGCATATTCTTACTGCATGGAAAAAAAAAAAGTCTTTTAGACTTCTAGATAATTGTGGCTTTTTTGCATATGTCATAACATGAGCTGCCTAAGCTAGTTATTTAATGAACATAACATTGTCTCCCCATTTAGAATGAGTTTAGCCTGCATCAAAGCTTCTCTAGTGTTTTATTAGTGTTCTCTAGGGTTGTAGAGATGTCTGTGGCATGTTTGTATACAAATCATAAAATACACTTCTTTCAGTAATGGTTTGGTTTGGTTTTTTCTTTTGTTAAGACAGTTTACTCTTGACACTAGCCAAGGAAGCATGTATGGGTGGATAATGCTTACTATAGCTTGTAGTCTACAGCTTGAATTTTGCATCAGTTACTGAAATGCATTTTAATGAAAGTGGGGAACTGCTATAAGTTTAATCATGAAACAAGCTTCAAGACTTACCATTTTAATTTTAAAAAATGGATCTAATGACTTTCATATTAATATATCCTCAAATGCAGAAGTTCATATAGATTTTTTAGCTTTTTTTTTTTTTTTTTTTGTGAGTGATGTTCAGTGGCACCAGTTAAACATGCATCTCTGTTAAGGAGTATTCATCACACTATTCTTCTGACCTTGCAAATTTTTGAACTGTACACAGTTTCCAAATGATAAAATAGAAGGTTCATGCAAACTTCTTCCTAAAATCAGCACTAGAAATACCATTGCAAAAACCTGTAAGTACATTGGCTCAGAGTTTTAAGTACTCCTAGACTGATGTGCAGGTAACTGGTTCAAAAAACATCAGTTTCACCTGATTCCTGTTGTTATAAAACCACTAGTTTTCCTGTATGTATTGCTCCGTAGGGAACTGTCAATCTGTTTAACCTGTGCTCTAAAAAAATAAAGATTGTTCTATTTCTTAAGGAAACTTGTTCACATTTTTTAACTGATTTGAAAACAGACGTCTTGTATTGTCTTTTTTTAAAGAAAATAAACTCAATGAGTAAGGTGAACTCTAATCAGTCTGTATCTGAGATTCTGTTACATAGCTGGTTTTGTTCTGGTCTGTGGAAATAACATTTAAATTGTGAATTTATTTAACACCTGTGGATGTGGAATATTAATGTGTATAACCTATTATAGAGTGTGGTTGGTTTAGTACCTTATACACAGTTTACTAAATATTGTATTCTAATGTCCAGGTTTCTGATATTTTAGGTTAAAAATTTCATGCTAATTGTCCTCAAAAGTACCATTTCTAGCCAGTGAATGATGGGATTTGGGTTTTGGAAGGGGCATTTTGTTTGGTCATTTGTTCCTTGTTTTGGTTTTTTCTTTGGCTGGTTTTTAAAATTTTTTTATTTACCACAGTGTTCTCTCTTCCTTAGCATATGTTAATAAAACACGAACATTGGGGCTGTTGGTTGAATCTCATGATTGGAATTAAAAGGGAGGGCAGCTTTTATAGTGGGGCTAAAGAAACTTTGGGCCAAAAATTTCTGACTTTTTTGAATGGAGACACGTTGAGCCACATCAGTGGAAAAAGCTGTTCCTGCTGGCCCTGCTGTGTTGGGCTGTAGTTACCAATTCTGCACTTGAAGACACCTCTGGAGCTTCTAAGCACTGTACAGTAGCCATACCTGGATAGATGTGTGCCAGCAAGGATGGAATGTTCCTGGTATGAAACCTTGGCCCCTTTTTCACCCTGGGAGTTGCCTGTAACGGTGCCACAGTGTGATGTGTGCTGCAGCCATCTCCTTTGAAGAAGAGAGGGAATTTCTGTCACTGCCTGCTGGACACCTTCATCCTTAGCAAATCCATTCATATTTAGTGTTAGTGTTTAGTGACCCATTACCCAGCACCTAGCAAATTGTCTGTGTTAGTATTTAGTGAACAGTATTACTAAATATCAAATGTATGTCTCTCTTTAAGATGTTTAAATATTTTCTCAATCAGAATGTTTTGAAATAGCTGTATAAGATGCATAGTTCCTTTCCTCTTGTTTTTTTTTCTTTTCCTTCCAAGTGTTGCTCTGCTTGGCAGTATGTGCCCTCAGATAATCTGAGTTCAGCATTTTCAGCTGTTGAGCCTCCACGTGTTGTTCTCCTTGCTCTTAGTGAAAGGCTTTGTGTGGTATTTCAGGGAGGGGCCATGGCGAGTGTGTGCTGGACAATCATAAGCTAAAGCAGGACAATACATTTCCCATACATAATGCTGATTCTGTGAAAAAACAGCAGCCAACTTTTGAGGAAGCGTTGACTCAGTGTGTAATGCTGTGTCCTAATTAAAAACTCGAACAAGATAGTTGTACCAGGAGTGCTGCCTTATGAAATGCATCTCAAGCAGGCACTGTTCCAGTGCTGGAGAGCCCGGCACGGCCTCCTGCCTCACCCCGGCCCTTCTGCACAGGCAGGTGGAGCTCTGCTCTCCTCACTAACAGCTTGGAATGCCAAGCCCTGCCCCCGAGTTTGAAACCAGTTCCCAGCGCGGTTTGCTAATCATTGATGGGTGTTTGTACCAGCAGGGAGCTCCTCACCTTTTACAAGCTGTGTTAAAAACCTCTGTAGTGTTACAGATGTCTCTTCCATTTTCCCCTCTGATGTGAATTTCAGTGAGGTCTGTGTAGTTCTCGACTGAAACTAATAACCTTTTCACAGGGAAAATAAAGTTCCCCACCCCAACAGAGCCTTTCAGTGTTTTCCATGCAGTGCCCAGAGGCACATTTATCTTGGCTGTCTCTTGCAGCTCTCAGTAAGTTTCTGCTTTGTTGCTTGGATTGTCCCTTATGCCTTCATGTCTAGAACCCAGAGGAGTGCTGGTGACTCCAGGGTTGGGAAGACCCCTGGGCAAGGCAGCACTACAGCAGTGTGGGGTTTCTGTTGCTTTATTGCTGCTAACTCTGAGGTGTGATCAGCTAATGCATGCTCAGACTGCTGGTTTGTCCTCACATTTCTAACCTATCCTCTGCTCGCTAGAGGAAGCTGAAATTAAATGTACAAATCAGAAGTATATTACCAATATAAAGGATGTGTGCAGTAAATGTGTTTAAAGAAATCAATCTTTCCATCAATTCTTTACTCAATACTGATTTTACTTTACATGTATTATTGTATCTAATACAATGTAATTTCTCAGAAATGCCTGTTTGCTCCTTGCTTTCTTTGGTTTCTAATGCTTGATTTCCCTTACTAATTTATTCTCCCTTGCTTTTTTTTTTTTTTTTTTCCTCTTTCTGCAGCTGAAGAATGCCTTGCTGATTCTGACCTGAACTTTCTTATTCCCATCGCAGTGGGCGTGGCACTTGGATTCCTTATCATTCTTGTCTTTATCTCTTACATCATTGGAAGAAGAAAAAGTCGTACTGGCTATCAGTCTGTATAATCTCTTCATTCCATCTCTGTTGCCCACCTTCCCTGTTCTTTTCCCTTTCCCAGACTTCCTGGCCTGCTCCTTAAAAAAAAAAGAAAGAAAAACAAATTAATTCAAGGTTTCTTTGTTTAAAAAAGTTCAAGTCACTTCATGGCAGAATAACAATAACTTCATGATAGAATAACATGCCATGAATCTGAAGATGAGTTGCAAAAGCTACTGTATGACTTTGGAGAAAGTAAGTGTTGTGAGGACCAGAGAATTGAACAGAGTTGGTGTGTCCCTGTGGGAAATGTGATTATTTTTAGTAAAGAAGACATCTACAAAACTTTCTGTTGTTTAATCTTTTTGTACAAGAAAATTTCTAGATGCCTACAGCTTGTCTTGGTTAATGCTACAGCTAAAACTATAATTAAAAGTGTGAATGCTGTGTCAAAAGGGACTGTACATGCAGTGGGAAAATGAATACCCAGCTCTTGACAGACTTCTGTTGGGAGCTTGGCATATGGCTGTTGTTGTGAATCAGCCTGAATTTCCTATTCCTTCTGAATGTAAAAGTAGTACCTGATCTCACTAATAGCCTGACATAATATGAGAAGAACATCTGATTCTTCCAGTGAATTAATCTGTTTAACATCATACAGAGAAGCTGGCTGCTAATGTAGGTTGAACAGCTTTGCACTACCCTGGTGTCTAATTTGCCAAGATAAGGTTCAGGTCTGGAGAACTTCAGCTACTCAGAAAAGGCAACAGTCTGCTGAAGGAAATGTCTCCTGTGCTATTTTGTTGAACTGCATTTTCCTTTTGTTCTGAGCTCAATTGTGAGATGAGGGTGGGAGGCTGGAATTTCACTGGCTGCAGTTTCTCTCAGCTTTGATTCTGAACATAAAAGAAACTACACAGCGTTGGTCCATGTGAGGACCAAAAGTATTTTGAGAGCACTCAGGCTGACTGAACACAGGTTGCTCAGATCTTCCTGCAGTTCCTTTGGACAGCTTGCATAGGTGAACAGAGCATCACTGAAAAGCTGTGATCTCTGAAAGCAAGTGGAGATATGAAAGCTTTCAGGTTTGATAGAATTAATCTGCTTTTAACCTCCTCATTATTGCTGTCTCAGTGTAAGAGCACAAAATTTCTAGCATGAGGAATGCTGATCATAAAGCAGGAATGAATATATGTGTAGTGAAGAAAGTGACTTCCAAAGGAATAAGAGCATCTTTCCTGTTTGAAGATGCTTTCTTTGTTATTAGCCATACCTTTGCAATCCTGTGTTCCATATCTAAACTGTATCAAAATTGAATTTAGTCATTGTGGTTGTGTTCTGCTTCGTTCCCATCAGGTCCATGTTGATGGAATGAAAGAAGCCTCTTGCTCTTCGGACCTTTTTGGTCCATCTTGGCAAAAGCCTTTTGCAGCCAATAACCCCTGGGGGCACACAAAGTTTTGTCCTCTGCAGCAAGTGTTTACTAAAGCTGCTTCAATATTTAATCTCCCTGTACATTGACCCTGTATCCGTGCTGTGGGGGAAGCACCTTGAGTAATTCACACACACAAAGGTGACAGTCAGCACTGATGTTTAAGTAATTCACAATAGCTGTGTATTCAGGAAAGGGAGTTTTCCAAAGAGTTAGTTCTGATGTTTGAGAAATGCCTGTATATTCAATTATTCTTGTCCTCACAGTGACCAAAGATACACTCTACCTGATTCTGACAAAAGTGATTCCATAGTACAAATGGGCTCTTGGAACAAGTTGTCCTATTTTTTTTCTTTTTTATTTTTAGGAATGTAAATCAATGCTGCTGAACTGTATGCTTTAGGTTTGGTTGTCTTGGTCTCTTGTATCGTACCTTTGCTCTTGCAATACTTGATTTCCCTACCAGTGTTAAATGGAATTATTTCAAGTGGCATTTTATGAGTACACCCACTTGCCAGTGTGGTGCTTCTCTGCCACCAGCAGATGGATCACAGCTATGTTCTCATGCTGAGATTGCAGAGTGAAGTATTTAATATCACTTTTGCAAGGCTATCTTAGTGAAATGTGGTCATTTCCTAGATGCAAACACATACATACATATATATATTTATTGTATATACATAGAAAGTATTATTTTGAGCTTCAACAGAAGTCAGAAATGGATCCAGCACTTTAAGGTTGTTGCAGCATGAAGAGTGGTATGTACAATTTTCCAGATCTTAAATTACTGTACAAATATGCTGACAGCAGAATATGTGTATGGAAAATAAAGTTAATTATTGTGTTTATTAAGCTTTGTTTCAGTGTAAGTAGACATGAATGCCATTTCTGAGTGCTTTTCCAGAGGGATTGTCAATGTACTTGGATCTGGATGTTTGTGGGGAAACACAAGCTTTTGCTTCTAAGCTGTTCACACATTTACATTCAAATCAGTTGATTTTTGTGTTGATTTGGTCAAAGCATGGGTCCAGCATCTGCTAAAGGACCTCCTCTTTCATCGGAATCCTTCCAACCGACAGACAGGGAATAAATATTAAATAAAGTTTTATCTTGGTGCTAGTGTGAATGCTGTTAATTTGATAGCATGAGACACAGTGAGTTTGGTTTCCTTTCAAGACCCCACAAATTCAAATGCTTTAAAAGAGCTAAAGCAGTTGGCAGACAGAGAAATGCTTGTGGGTTTAAATTATTTCTGATATCTAAAGCAGAGCCACTCCCCCAGCAGCATCCTCCTTGGCAGAAGGCAGTTTCTGCTGGTCAGAAGATGCCCTTGCAGATAATTTGTGCAAGCAGAATGAATACACTGCCCTGGTTCTATCAGTGCCATCTGGATAATGACAACTGAGAAGAATTAGTTCCTAAACTGCCTCTGGTTCAGGTATTTAATAGTTCTTAATAAATCCTTTTTGCTAAATAGTTGTGATGCTTGGTGAAGAGTGAGTCTTACTGTACTGAACTCTTTGGCCTGGGGAAGTTTATCAAGTGCTCAGAATTCCAGGATGTTGTTACATGCTGCTTGGAAATTCAGTCCCTAACTGACAGTACAAACTGCATCTCTTAACACCAGTGTTTCAAGAATGCCACCATAGAGTTAACTTTACTGTAGTCACTTTATTTTAAATAGAAAAAAATCACTTCTTAGAGACTGATATAGATCAGGAAATGACAGCAGATGAAGTTCCTTGGCTATGGATGTAGGACAAACATACCCTAATGCCCCTGCTCAGGCAGTAATTTTAGTAAGAGTGCTTTCCCAGTGGTGCTGTACCCCACGGTGTCCTGTCCTGCTGTGGCTGTAGCTCCCAGCAAGCAGAGTGCAGCTGCTCTGTCCCTTCCAGGGAGGCTCGGGCTGCTCAGGGCAGTGCTCCCTGTGCTTCACCAGCCTTCGGGGTGACGCACTGATGCCTTCACTCACCCCAGCACTGACCCCTTAACTGTGAGGGGACTGAGCAGTTCCCTGCATTTTGCTGTAGCATTACAGCTGGAACCCCTCTGGAATGGGGAAGAGCAGGTCTGAGAGCTTTGGGCACTGCTGTGCCCGGTCAGGAGGCGCTGCCAGCCTGTGAGGTGTGACAGGAGAGCTCCTCTCACTCATCCCTGCCCAAGAGGCTGGGTGAGGATCCCTGGGGCAGAGAGGAGTGCTGGAGTGAGGAGGAGAGAGGGAGAAATGCATTCATCTTCCCACTTCAGAAAGGAACAGCTGGAAGGGTTCAAGGGCAAACAATTTTCTGTGGCTCTTGCTCAACACCTTGGGTGTGATCACCAAGCTGTGTAAAATGCTGCGCTCAATATGCTTCTGGGGCTGGAGATCCTAGAAAGCATTTTGAGAGCTGCCATTTTCACTTTTCCACTCTGTTATTGCAGGAATAATCCAGAATGTTTGCTGTTTATTATTTTAACAAGAATAGTGCTAATAAACTACCTCCTTTTTAGCTTTTGCCTGAGAAATGCATATAAAACTATTCTAAAAAAATAAAATTTAAAGCCAGGAAAGATGCATTCCACAGGGATCACTCATAAAAGGCCTTATGAAAATGACATTTGGATACCAGAGGTTTTTTTCAATCAAAAGTGAAATCTTTTGCAAGTTCTCTCCCCAGGGGAAAGCTTCTAATATTTCCTAATAATGATTTACATCAGAAGATGAAAAATGTGGATCCACGCTCCATTTTATCTCATTGGTTTCCTAACTATGAACAAAAATAAATTAACAATAATCTCCATGTGCCTGCTTTTCCTAGCAGAAAAAATGCTGGCTTGATGCTTTAAAAAGGAAAAAGCCTCTGATTGACTTATCCTAAGTGCCTGGAGTTGGCAGGGGCTACTTCCCAATGCTGAGTGTGAAGATGATCCGGCCCAGGAAGCGATCGCTGTTCAGGTCGTTGATAATTCCTTTCCCATGCAGACTGCACTGGATGGGGACCAAGTGATTCCTCTGCACATCTGTAAAGTGCATAGCCACCAGTGGGGAGGTGTAGTTGACCTGGAAAGAAAGGAGATTTAAGTGTCATTTTTGAGGGAGCAGAAAAGCAAGCAGGGCTTTTGTGTTCAGTGAAATAATTTGTAAATGGTTCATGGTTCCAGCATGCTGAGCCTTTCTGTGCCTGTGCCTTAGCAAGATGGATCACTGCACTTTGCCTCTGGGGTCATTGCCCAGGACAGCACCTCACCATGGGACTCAAAATGCTTTCTGCTGTCCTAAAAACCACACACACACAGACACACTCACTCACACTCACTCACACACAGTTAGACACTCACACACTGTTACACACAAACAGTTTGTCAGAGACAGAAACAGAGCTCTGTAATCCCATAGCCCGTGGCCTCTGTCCTGCCCACATCTGCCCAAAATAGCCTGACAGCACATCTGGAGCCTGTGCAGCAGCTCCTGCCCTCCCATTCCCAAGGAAGCAGAAAGAGATGCCAGCCCTTCACTCACGTGGGTGAATTTGCCATAGTAGGGATAATACATGAGGTCAAATGTCCCGTTCCCAGGGTAGAAATCCACCGACCTGAGGTGACTCTCATTGCCTTTCTGTGAACAGAAAAAAAACAGAGGCACACACACAAATACACAGGACATGGGACAAAAAATACAGCTCCCCTCAGAGCTCGTCTCAGAGCCAATGTCCCTTGGCAGCCCCTGGCTGAGCTCAGCTGTGCTGTGTTTGTTGTGAACACAGTCACTGCCCTGCTTCCAGCCAGGGGAGAGTGGAGCTGTGGAGCCATGGGCAGGGTTGCAGTTTGCTGTCTGCTGATTCCCTGCTGCACCTTTGCTCTCCAAGGGTGTGATCCAGCAACTGCCTTAGCAGTGGGAACCCTTCCTTCACCCCATTGCTGTTGGCTTGCAGGGTGCCCCCAGGACTGAGGATGCTGCAGAGCAGCTGGAGATGGAAATGAGGAGTTCCTGCATCTTCCCACTGAGCTCCAGGCTCCAGCTGGGAGCTGGCACCCAGCCCACAGGCTGCCCCATGGTGGTGCCCATGAGGCTGCAGGAGCAGGGTGGGAAGCAGGAGAGTGGTGCCTCTGTCACTCTCAGCAGATTGGCCTCCAGTTGTGCCCAGACACACGAGCTGCTCTGGGTCCTCTGAGTGTTTGGGGCTAATATGAGGACAAGCTGTGCTGAGCTGAGGTCCCTCAGAAGGAGGAGAGGTTTGTCCTTGTCCCCAGCACCCTGCGGGGCGCAGAGGAAAGCAGTACCTGCACTTTGCACTCCACGCTCACGGGGACTCCAGCGCCAGGGCGGTAGCCAATGATCTGCAACAGCAAAAACATCCATGCTGGTGTGAAATGCAGTGCCAAGCACGTGCTGCCTCCCTTCTCCAGGCTCAAGCCTTTCTGGGTGCCAGCCACATTGCTCAGGACAGGACTGTGTGTCCCTGCAGCCACCCCACACCGTGCAACCTGCCCATGGCTGAGGGCCAGGTTGCTGCCTGACAGCACGGGCAGAGCAGAGGATACAGAGAGGGTTCAGACCCCCTGGAGTAACACAGCCTCTCCCCCACATAGTTCATATCCCCCTATGCTTATTTTCCCAGCAGTGAGCACTGAACCACCATGCTATTACACTTCAACTAAATTCTAAGAAAACTCCCATTATAAAGCATCTGGGGTCTGGGGTGTTCCCCTAAAGCTCAGTTCCTCATGAAGAAGGGCCTGGCAGAAGGCCTCCCAAGCACTAAGGCCTCAGCAAATCAAACGGAACAAATTTTATAGTGGGTTTTAAAAATGTTTTCTGGCAGATATGGCCTGCAGGTTTGGGCTTTCTCGTTCCCTTTTCCCCTGGGCCTGAGAAGTGAGGGAGTTTCAGTCCCTGTTTGGTGTTCATCACACTGGGATGCCCCAAAGGAAGGAATGAAAAGAAGCAGCTTTCTCTGTACCCTGTTCATCTTCAGCAGGATGCAGGGCTGGCCTCTGGAGTAGCCAAACGTTGGGTCCTGGATGCCAGAGCAGTTCTGCAGCAGCGAGCGCTTGAACTGGCACGCCTTCTTCTCCTCACTGTCACTCCCCCCTTGGATGAAGTACTGGCCTGGGACACACTCAATGTTCTTCTCCTCCTGAACTTTGTCATCATAAGCTGGTGGAGACCAACAGTGTTGTATTTGTCGGGTTCCCAGACAAAGGAAGGAATGATGAATCTGACTCCATGTTCTTAGAAGTCTAATTTATTATTTTGAGATACTACATTATATAAAAGAATACTATACTAAACTGTACTAAAGAATAGACAAAGGATACTTACAGAAGGCTAAAGGATAATAATGAAAAACTCATGACTCTGTCTTCAGAGTCTGACACAGCTTGGCCCTGATTGGCCATTAAGTAAAAACAATTCACATGAAACCAATTAAACAACCACCTGCTGGTAAACAATGTCCAAACACATTCCAAAGCAACAAAACACAGGAGGAGCAAATCAGAAAATAATTGTTTTCATTTTTCTCTGAGGCTCCTCACCTTCCCAGGAGCAAATCCTGGGCAAAGAAATTTTTCATAAAATATGGCAGTGACACAACAGACTTGTTAAAACCCCCTGAGGCCTGCACAGACCCAAACTCTCAGAGAACATCCACATGTCAAGGGCATTAAGAAATCACACCTGGAAAGGCTAAGCTCCCTGCACTGCATGCATGTATCCATGGATAAAACCCCCTCCCCATGGCTCCCAGGGTGACAGAGAGCTCACCTGCTAGGAAGTGGTGCATGCTGTCCATGTAGGGCTGCCACGTGTTGGGCTGGGACACGTTGAAGGCAATGGTGAAGCCATTCAAGTATGGTCTGATCATCACTCCTGAAGGAGACAGACCCTGGTAAGGCAGGTGTAGGTGCAGCGTTCATGGGCTTGGGCTGTGTGCTGCAGGGCTGGTTCATGGCACTGGGCTGGGCTGGGCGCAGGCATGAGAGAGGCAGCACCAGCTCACAGATCAACTCTGTCCTCAACCTGCTGATCCCTCACCTTCATTTCACCCCCAGAGAACTCCATACACATCAAAATATCCCAGGAAACCTGGGAGATATGGAGAGCCTCAGCAGTGTTGTGGGTTAGTGACTGGGGTTGCACAGAGTGGCTGCAGGTCCCCTGTGTCCCCAGCTGTGTGGGCAGTTCCAGCCAAGAGCAGGGCAAGGGGCCCTTTTGTTCCCCACCAACACAAAAACAGGGAAAATGCTGTGTCTGACACAGGGAGAGGATTTTCTCAACACGCTGTTAACAGAACTCCCCCAAATAATAATGCATCAAAGCAACTCTTGATTTACATTTTATTTTGAAGGCATGAGGTATAAAGGGCCAGCAGCTGAAATGCATCAGCATCACCTATGAAATACCTAAACTTGGCTTTTGCCTTGAGAAAAATGATAACGGTAAGCAGTGCAATGAGAATAACAATTACTATCATCAGGGTGATTGCTTCTCATGGGGCTTTTTAAGATGTCTGCTCCTGTGCAGAGAGCCTGCAGCTCTGCCAGTGCCCTGAGGTGAGAACGCCCTGTGCTAGCAGGGCTGGGTGACTGTAGGAGGGCACAGCTCCTGCAGGGTTTGCCTGAGGTGCTGGCCATGCCATTTTGGTGGGACACTGGTGGCAGAGGTGCCTCTGGCTGGGTACATACCTGGCGGGGACACACGGTCCCGGTACCTGGGCGTGTAGGGGCTCAGCGTGAGCAGCATCACATACAGGCAGAAGGCAAACATTCCCGCCAGGCACGTGTAGAAGATGAAGTAAAACAGTAAGATCAAGCCTGCAAAACAGACAGGCACGTTGCTGTTAAGGCAAGCAGAGCACATCCCCTGGGATGTGTCCCACAGGGATGCACAGACGTGCTCAGCACGGCGTCCTCGGCAGCCCTGAGTCCGTGCTGGAGGTGGGAGCTGCAGCCCAGCCCTGCACACACACTCTGCTGTCTGTGCCTGCAGGAATTCCAGCTGCTCCAGAGCTGGGGCAGCTGCTCTTTGGCTCTGCGTCCCTTTTGCTGCATGGCCCTTCCCAGAGCTGTGTCAGGAGCAGGTCTGTGTGCCCGCCTGCCTCAGCTCTCTCCAACAGATGGACCCAACATTCCCTCCTGCCCTTCCCACCCCCTCCTGGCATGGCAACATGCAAAGGTACCCCGAGGCTTCAGCCAAACTCCTGCTGGGGCTGTGGGGTGATGCTCCTGCCCTGATTCCTGTCCCCTGGTGCTGGGGCTGAGCAGGCAGCCTGGCTCAGGGCTGCAGCACCACTGACTGTTTCATGGCCCAGACATTCAGGGAATGGGTTTGTTTTTCCTCTGGACCAGGCTGTTGGCTGAGGATGTCTCAAGAGGCCAGAGCCTATGAATAAAACCCAGCAGCTCAGAAAGCAAAGCGAAGCCCTAACCCAAATATTTCCCAGGAGAAACGTTCCGGCAGCGTGGAGGGAGCCCTGGGAACACAGATGTGCTCTCCTGCAGTGCCTCTGCCAGGGCCACCGTGCTGGGAACTGCTGGGGCTGTGTCCTGCTGGGGCTGAGCTGGGCCAGATGGGCCAGCACTGTGCTGGTGGCACAGAGGGGACAATGTCCAGCCCTGCCAGAGCGATGCTGGATGGTGCCTCTGCCCCAGCCTGGTAGCAGAGCTGGTGCTTGTTGGGTATCTTCCCACTGCTGCTCCCATTTTTGTGTTTCCTGCCGTGCAGCAGGGAGTGTTTCACCTGCAGAGAGGGAGTGCAGCCCTTCCAGGGGCTGGGGCCTGCAGTGATGACCTTGTGGCCATTTTCTCCCTGCAGTTGGTGAGTGCAAGTCCCCTGAGGCCCCCATTCCAGGGGACACCTTTAGAGCCAGCACAGAGGGGCAAATTCCCTCCTCCCCAGCCATGAGCTGAGAGTGGGAAAGTTCAGCTCCACTCACCTCCAAATGCTCTCACTTTAAAATAAGTGTTGATTTTGGTAGTAGCTTCTCCTGCCCCCGTGTAGAGACAAGTGAGCAATGTGTGTGCACCAAGGGCACATGGGGGGTCACATAGCACAGCACAGTGACCCCAGGGGACAGGAGGATGCTGCACCCACCCCAGTGCTGCCAGCACTGCCAGGGTCACATCCCCACCACACTGAGCAAATCCTCTCACAAGGAGCTTCTCAGGACCTGGAGGAGCCTCCAGAAAACCAAACCTACATCACCAAGGACTCACCCTACTGCTCCCACACTTTGGTCTGTGCCTTCCCATGCAGCAAAGAAGCAGAAAAGCTGCTCTGCCTCTGTGGCCAGCAAAGGGCACAGGAGTGCAAACATGAACGTCAAGGTCTCTGTCCCAGACTCATGCTGGCAGGTTTTCAGACTCCTCTGGTGTTGCTGGGCAGCTTCCTTTGTTCTCCCAGCTGCCACCATAGGCTTTGCATAAGACCCAGAGCTCTTGGCAGGGGCATGGGAGTGTGTGGGGCTTGTGGTGCATTGCCAGAGCCAGCCAAGGGCTGCAAACACCCAGCAGCAGCCACTGATAGTTCAGCCTTACACTGATGGATGTGCAGGTGCCTCTGGATCAGGCTGGGATTTTCACTCTGCCAAGGGGGCTGGGTGCTGGCAGAACAGGGCTGCAAAGATGGGTGGCACCCCGTGTGCTTGTGGCACCTTGATTTTGGGCCAAGCCTGCAGCAGCACTCACCCCACAGGCTGCTCTTAACCCCCCTGGGCACCTCCAGACCCAGCAATAAATTTTGCAGGGCACATGGATGTGGATAAAGCAGTCAGGGCACTCAGAACCACCAGAGCTGGCACATCCCAGTGCACTGGCTCTGGCAGCACTGTGGGCGCCCTGGAAGCTGTGGGCGCCCTGGAAGCTGTGGGGTGAGAGTGCTGACCAGCCCTTCCCTTCTCTTCCCACAGCCAGGCTGGTTCAGGCAGGGAGGGCTGCTCTGCCCCAGGGTGTGCCCCTGCACACAACACCGGCCACAGCCCAGGCACCTTCCCCACCAACCTGATGGCACCAGAGCCACTGTCCCAGGGGTTACACAGGCAGGGCAGGAGCGCTGGTGGCAGCAGGGTGCACAGCTGCAGCACACTGACCTGCAGCTCCCATGCTTGCTCAGGCTCTACACTTCTGTCTGGGACACAGTCTGGGCAGCCTGAAATCTCTGCCTTCAAACTCTCCCTCAACATTAACCTCCAGACCAAGGGTACCTTCTGCATGGTTTTCTGCTTGTCCTCCTCACTGGTTATTTATTGAACTAGTTAGAAACATTAGTACTAAAGAAATGGGCAGGGGTGGTCAGTCCAGGCTATCAAGGACAATCACAGGCAGGTGAATCTGTTGTGAAGCAGAAAAGGCAACAACCCCCAAAAGTGGGGCTTGAGCAAGGACCTACCCCAGCTCTTGGCTGTTCTCCCCATGCATGTTCTCTCCTCCGGGTTCCACAAGAATATCTTCATCTCCCCAGCCAGGTCTGCCCAGGTTTTGCTCCCCATGTCTGCCTTGGGCTCGTGCTTCTCTCTGTCAGGATCCTGGACCTTCTCCTCATGCTTATTTTCCTGGAAGAGTTGCAGAACACAACCCCCACAGGCAAGCTGAACTTCTCATTGGCCAAAAATAAATGCAAAAGCACTTAATATCTGGAAAAGTTTCAAATTTCCATTTTCCCATCATCACTCTTGAGTTAAAGAGAGGCAGTTTTGGCTGTTCCAACTTAAGATCACTCAGAACCCAGCATCCATTTTTCCATTACATGTACGTCACTGCTGTCACACTGGGCACTGTCTCCTTGTGCTGGCACTTACAGAAACTCATCTTTTTCCACCTGCATGAACATGACCAGAGAAAACCTGTGGTCTGGGAAGGCTGGGACTGTTCCCACACTTCTGCAACATCTCTGAGTTCAAGTGCACATTCTCTGTGCTGCCACAGACGATAGCAGGCAGCAGTATTAAAGAGATCAACCAGCTTGTTTTCCTTGGCTTGCGAGCAAGAATTCAGCCTTTGAAGAAATCCCTGTGTTGTTACTCTTTTAATTACACCGAGTTCCAGGGAAAAGCATCTCCCCAGGTTGCAAGACTTTGTATTTTGCCTAAGGGGTGAAAACTTGTTTGTCCAGAACTCGGGAACACAAATCCTGTGCCTGGGCCAGAGCCGCTTGAGACACGGAAGCCGTCCCTAAATTCCCCTGGATCCGGGCAGGTCTCTAAAGGCAGGATGAGGGGAGAAGGTGCTGACCTTGCTCTCAGCCCGGGCAGGGCCGGGGAGAGGGCGATGCTGTCCCCGGGATGGCCTCGGCACCTCCGGTATTTCAGTGCGTTCTGCGGCCAGCGGAGCTCAGCCCTCGGGCCGGTCCCGGCCGGACCTGCGGGCCGCTGACCGGGCACGGAGCCGCTCGGGCACGGCCGGAGCCGCCGCTCCGCGGGACCGCCCCGGGTCTGCGCTCCGGGACCGGCACCGGGCACCTCCCGGAGCCGGGACACACGGGTGCGCGATATTTGCAAGCCGCGGGTCCTCCCGGGAGAGCCGGGATGTGGCCGAGGGCTCAGCGAAAGCATTGCTTGGAAACGCCTTTGAATTGGGGACGAAAAATTGAACTCTGCTCATGCACACAAATAGTGCAGCACAGTGAGAATGGGGGACAATACTGACCCCAAAGGCTGAGGGTGTCCCCTGGGGAGCCTGGGGGTTGTAAACCCTCCCCATGCCGCTGGCTGCCCTGATGGGCTGAGTGAAGCTCTGTGGGGCTCTCCGGGAGCGCTGCTGGCAGAAAATGCCCCCGGTGCTGGCAGGGCCGGGGCGGCGTTTGGCACAGACCCAGAGCCCGGGCTGGAGCCCGTCCCGAGCAGCTCTGCCCGGCCTGAGGGGCAGGGAACGCAGGGAACGCAGGGAACAGGGCACAGGGCAGCTCCTGCCCGGCCTGAGGGGCAGGGAACGCAGGGAACAGGGCACAGAGCAGCAGGGTTTGGAGCCGGGGAGCAGCAGCCCCAGCATGGTCAGAGAGGGACTGGGACAGGAGCTGCGGGGGCTGTATCTGCCAGGACATGCACAAGGGGAAGAGTGACCAGCAAAGAGGGGGAAGAGGAGGTGTTCTTCTTCCCACTCTCCCCATTAGATAAAAGAGCTACCAGGAGATATTTTGGAAACATTTCCTCAGACTGCCAGGGCAGGGGACACTGCCCAGATGAAGCCCACACTGGTGCCAGTGCTGCGCTGGGAAAAGGCCTTTGAGTCTCATGCCAGCCTCTCCTGGAGGCAGCAAGAGCCCACACTCAGGAGCTGCTGCCAATGCTCAGGGCTGTGGGGGGATAGGGGGACAGATTCCCCCGTCATGGGGCCTCACCCTGGGAACTGAAGGAGGCTTCTGTAAGGAGAGAAGTTTCCAGCTCCTAGCTCTCCTGGCTCTGTGCTGTGTGACCCTTCACCAAGTCCTGTCCTGCTGGCTGGGAAAGGCTACAGGGCTCCATGGCAGCCCAGGCAGGCTGAGGAAGCCCCAGGCTCACCCCGTGGGTCTCTGTGGGGTGGCTGGGCAGGATGGGATGATCCCAGCACCAGGTTCCTGGCAGATATCTCTCAGCTCAGGAGCTAGGTCAGCTCTGGAATGGAGCACAGGTGGTTTCTCTTTGCAGCCCAGGACAGAGATGGTTTTGGACAGTCCCTTGCACCTGGACAAGGGGCAGAAGGAGTGGCAAGAGCTGGGACAGGGGTGCAGTGGGGCAGGGAGAAGGCAGAGCCACAGCAGGGACACTGGACAGCCCTGAGTCACTGCCTGCTGTGGGAAGGGGAAGCAAATCTGGGGCTCATCTCTGGCAAAATCATTCTGTGCTGGCTGTTGTGTGTGGCCTGAGGGAGGCCAGGAGCCTCCCCCATTCTCAGTTCAGAGCAGGTCAGCTCTCAGTGTTGGATTCCTCCTGCTGAAATCCAGGTATGCAGAGGGTCACCCTGCCCAGTGTTCCTGTCCCTTCCAGTCCCCCTCACCACCCAGCATCACTGGCCAGACCTGGCACAGCCCTTTACCCCCTCCCATACAAAGTGCTTTGCCTAAAAGACAAATCAGTATTTCCCAAAGCAAAGTAGTTATAAATCTATCAGCCACAAAGCAGGTCCTTGCAGCAGCTCCCACCTCACCTGGTGAAATAAGGCCCCAAAATACTCACCACCTTCTGGCTGGGGCTCCTGAGCTGACCCTCCACATCACTGGTGCTGGCATTGCTGGCCATTCTTGGGTGGGAAACAAAAAATTGTGAGTGTTAGCACAGCAGCACTGTGGGTGTGGGTGCTGTGTTGTGCTGGCTCTGAGAGGCTCACAGACAGAGCGAACCCCCTCCCCAGCACTGCTCCCCAGCCCTACAGCACCCCTAAAACAGCAGCTGTGCCGAGGCTGAGGGGAGCAACCCTGCTTTCTCTCCCTACCCTGCAGAACCTTGCTGTCCAGGAGTGGATCAAAAAATAACTTGTTTTCCTAAGGGGGGTAAGCTCCAGGCAGCAGGATCCTATCTTGAGTGCTCTGGCATCTGGTGCCCTTTGCAGCACCCTCACTGCATCCTGCCTCACATTTGAGCTCCCATCTCTGCCAGCCAGCGCCCTACATGGGGAAGCCAGGCTGTTCCCCCAGGAGACCGAGGAGCTGTGAATAAACATTAACAAATCGCTGGGGCTTCCGATGGGAGAAGCGTCAATGTGTGCCTGTCAGTCACAGCGGGGCCGGGGTTAAATTGCGAAATCTCTTTCGCGGTGGAAGGGGTATGAGAGGGGCAGGCGGGTCTATATTTATCCCCGAGAGCAGACAGGAGTTCACAGCCCCCGGTTTGAGAGCTGCCCACAGCGTGTCAGACACAATCCGGAGGCACACCTTGCCGTGCCACGCTCGGGCCGGGGCTGGGGATGCTCGGGTTTTCCTCCATCAGTGAATCAAGGGCAGGAGATGATGCACTGGGGGTCGGGGTGGGCGCCGCGCTCCTGCTGCTGGAGCAGCTCCGGCGTGCGGGGCCGCCCGTCCCTGGCCGTGTCCACGCAGCTGTCGAGGAACACTGGGGCTCGTTTTACACCTCTGTCCCAGCCTCAGCTCGGCACCATCCGCCTGCTGAATCTCCTGGCCCCTTTCCAATGGGAGCGGTGACCCTTCCTTTAGCCAGAGAGCCAGGCCCTGTTCCAGGGTGGGGAAAGGCTGCCTTGCCCCGGGCTGGGACCGTGCCCGAAGCACGGGGACAGGGGGACATGTGTGCCAGCCCCCGCAGGGCTGCACGGTGGCAA